ATCAAATTGGATATGATATGGTTTAGCTATTGCACAATGTATTAGCTTCCAAGAATTGCACAACTTTCTCTTACTTTGTCACATTTAATGCATATACAGTATGTGTTTATATGTGTGCATGTGCATGGGCGTGTGATGGGATAAATGAGTAACATCCTTTTAATTTTTTTTTTTTTTTTAATCATAAATGAACTTGATTAGTTCTCAAACCCAGCAGCTAACATGATGGAAAGCAGAGACCATATTCGAAAGGTAATCTTTTCTTTTATAGAGTCAAAATTTGATGATTTATGTACCAACTTAGTGCAATCTTAAAAGCACTTACTTTTTAAGTTTTCTTAATGTCTAAATGCAGTTGAAATTTTTTTTCTTTGGTGCTTTTATGCAACCAGACTAAATTTAGTAGCCCATTATTTTCTTTGAGTATAAACTCAAACTTCTTGCAGAAAGAGTTTTTCAAATAGAAATTTTTAAGTTTTTAGTTAACTTTTGCGTAGAACTTAAGTTTGGATTAAAACATATGCGGATGTTTGACAAATTCTTGGATATTCATATTCATATTTGGCTAATTTGACTAACCTCTTGACTTGAGGACGAACTAAGCTCCAGCATCAAGGTCTTTGGAGAATCAATGATGCCTGTTTCATTGTCAGTTTTTGATATATTCATGGAGCTTGGAACTACAGTTCCCATCTTTCTCTCTGTGCTTGACTAAGAGTTGTTCCACCTACAACAACAACCTATACACAACCTATTGAGCAACCGGAAGTGGTCATTCCAAGTATAGCCAACCATTGCCCCACTCACAGATGCTTACTTTAAACCATTGTTTGTTTATGAAATTTCATATTATTATTGATTTATTTTTGAACGTAAATTGATTCAGTTTTGATTCATTTATTATGCAGCCAACCTTTGACAATGATGGTCACAGTGAGCATTGATGGGGGTGACATTCGGAATAATTTAGTGAACACTTTTTTTTGGCATAGACACAGTATGAACCATTTAAAAAAAAAAAAATATTGTCTATTTATTTTGTTTTTCTGTGTCTTATAAACAATGTTATATTGCAAAGTGTTTATCAATGAAGCATATTTTATTATCAAAAAGTTGCAAACTTACATTCCTAGATAGGTTATACATGTTTTTGTTGTGGACTCTGTAGCCAGTAATAGTTTGTGTTTTGCGGCGAATAGAGTTTGTGTTAGATGATGAAGGATGACAATTTTTATTTTATTTTATTTTTGCTCATTTCATGGTGTTGGGCAGCCTTTTAAAATGGTAAAAGATTAACTATTGGACCTCAAAGCAATGATTATATTCCATGCAGGAACTACTAATTTTAAGAAGGGCAAAATTGTTATTTCAATTATATTATTATGTACCAAATTGTTGTAAGAAAAGTGTTGCAACTCTTCTTTTGCTTTGAAAATGGAATATATTCCTATCACTAAAATATTTCTATCACTAAAATATTCTAGTATTATTTCGTTCTTCAATTAATTAATTTATTTGTGTCAAAACCACTTTCATAAGTTGCGGGACTTTCAACTTCTATCTATTGAATTCAATTAATTCAATTCCTACTGAATTACAAATTGACAATTTCAATCTTCCATCACTTGCATTTTATCAAATTAAAAGAGGAATGTGAAAGATCTATACTGCTTACATTAATTGAATGCATGTGAATCATCCCTATTTTATCAACACCAATAAGCAGCGCATACGAGGACCAATTAATGACATCATAAATCGCAATCATATAACGATTCTCAGTAATCTTTAAACATAAAAACCCAATTAAAAATAAAAAAAAGAACAATAACAAAATATTCTATTATAATCAATATTTGACATATTTTTTTATGAAGCAATAGTCTTTTACAATTTCTTGAAATAAAAAAATTTGATAATAAAATAAAAACAATATAATAAATAAACCCGTGCAACGCGCAGGCATCCCATCTAGTATATATATATTCTTAAAGCACTTGTTATTTGAACGCTACATAAGACTCTATAATTGTGACAAATGTCAACATGTTATTAGTTTAAACTATAATTGTTACAAGTGTCCGCATGTTACTGATTTAGGCTATTTTATATTATTAATAACAGATATATTCAATATTTTATAAATATTAAATGTGTTATTATTATTATATAGATCAAAAGAAACTCTTCACATTCATGATAAATGATTTATGATTATACATAGCTTTCGTTGTTTTTGTCTAATTAAATGTGGAGGGGTTTAGAACGTGAAAAGGCACAGAACTGAAAGGAATTGAAGATCATTTATTCGCAAAGGTTAGTTAATTAACGCACGAAACGCTCACTAACGACAAATTTTCAAAGCATAATCTCACTGAATCATCATCTACAGATTTATAATTGGATTTCTAATTTTTAATCCACTCATCTCAATCTTAATTTGTGTCATGCATTTTTGATGATTTTCTAGGGTTAGGGTTATATTTTTGCTGATTTAGACTGATTTATATGTTGATGTTTGAAATAGTTTGATTAAACAAGTTTTTTTTTTTTTTTTTTTTTGGATTTTCAGATTGGAATTGTTATTTGAGCATAACAAAATGGAGGACGAGAAGAAGAAGAAGAGAAACAAGAAGAAGAAGAACAAACAAACGAAACAGGCAGAGGACATTGCGTGTGGTGCTAATGAGAATCACGTGAGCAATGGGGATGATAATCATAGCGAAGTTTCGGAGACGGCCGAGCTTCAAAATGGTGGTGTGGATCTGAGTAGACACCAACACCATTCCAATGGTACAGAAGCCGTAAGTTTGGCTTTAATCAATTTGGAGTTACTGCAATTATTTTTATCATGTTGTATGGATTTATGAATTAGGGTTGATGAATGGGCCTACATGATATGTTTTGTATAATCTGCTTTGTATGGCGTGATTAGTTCAGGTTAACATGTAAGTACTGATTAATATTAAAGGAGAATGAAACAGTTTATACGGTTCATTTATTTTGTGAGAACTCTATAAAGATTTTTAGAGATTCCTATGTGTTCTGGTATCTTTTTTTTTTTTTTTTTTTTTTTTTTTCCGGGTGTTCTACTAAACTTGGACACTACTTTTTTGAAAAATTTGTTATACAGGCCATTTTAGCCCAAGCTAAGAAACAAGAGTTGCTGCCAAGAAAGGAGAGAGGAGACTTGTGAACTCTTAGCTGCTTTTTTTTTTTTTTTTTGGGCGGGGGGTGTGAAGTGAGGAAGTGAATATTGATGTTTTTACAGGGGAAACATTGAAGACGCCACTATCGACATCTGCGTCTCTGTTGAAAACCCATCTGCCATCACTATCAACGATTTCTTTGTATATTGAAAACACAGAGAGAGAGTTAAAAGTTGAGTTTGTGGTGTCTTAATTCGTTTATTCTTCTGTGATTAACATCAATATGATGATCAAACGAGAGGTAATTTCATTCTTCTTTTCGTATATTTACTGTTTCTTTATCCATCTCAATTGGGAAGTGGTTTTAAGTTAGTTTTATTTATGAGGGTGCTTCTGATGCAGGGGTCTAACGTTTCTTTGCTTTCAATGAATAGACAGCTTGAGATGCATTCAGATATTGCTGTATAGTTTTTGTTCCTCCTACTGTATTGTTTTTATTTATGGTGCGATCATCTTGTCCATTCGTGTACCTCCTTTTTCTTCTTTAATATATATCTTTATGTTTCCTATAAAGACATAACCAGTCAGTTTGTGCTCGGTTACTTTGTTGGGTGAAAGAAAAAAGAAATTGAAAAAAACTTAGTGTGGCTTCCATGGCACCATGCTTTTCTTTGCTTTGTATTTCGATCTCTTTCCTTTTGTTTTCGTGTCGAGTGTTGTTCAAGAAGAACCAGACATGGAAGTCTCCAAATTTCCTTGATCTGGCTAATATTCCCATGTTGTTCACCACTTCCATTAATGTCTCAATTAAATTAATGTTAATTTGAAATAGTTATTCTTACGGATGGAATATGCTTTTAGTTTAGTTTAGTATTTGTTGAGAGAGACTTTGCAGAGAACATGGGCTGAACTCTGTTGTTGTTTGGCTCCTCCACCCTCTTCTCCTCCTCTGCCTCTCTCAAACGTCCCTCCTTTAAACCCAACACTCTCCAACCCAGTTCCAAGAAAACCCAGACAAAACAAAACATAAGAAAGGAGAAAGACAAACACTGCAGGCATCTTCAAGAAAATGTTCAGCGACACCACAAGCCAGACCTAACCCAATCTTCGCAGAAAGAACAAAAAAGTGAAAGCAAACGAGGGGAAAATGAAAAAATAAAACCCTAGGAACTTTTACAAGCAAATAAACCGGTTTAAAATGCATTTAAAAAACTGGACTGCCATGCAATTCAAAAAACAGAAAACCGGAAAAAATTGCCTCTTTTATATACAATATTTCCATTAGTTTTTGCATATAAATCAATAATAATGAAAATAAATCTTTACACCTACATTAAATATATACTATTTATTTGATATATAATAATTTTATTATTGATTTCTTTAATTATCAATTCAATATCCAATGAAATTCAATAATACATTTAACACCACAAGGAAAATAATGTAAAAGAAAAAAAAATACCCGCGCAACTAGTATATTATTAATCTTTAATCTCTTTAAGTTTTGTATATGTTTCTATAAATTTTGATCAAGATTCATAATGGATTTAATAAATTATATGAAAACTTTGATAAGTTTTAATGAGAAATTAGTGCTTCTTGACTTGGTAACGCTAATCCTTACCCAAAAGCCAAAATCAATTATATTTTATTTTATATTAAGCTTGCAGCAATTATCAAATGCAAAGGCACGTCTGCATAATAAAAAATAGCCACGTGTATAGAACTCATACGTGGCAAAAATTTTGTAAAAGAAATCCATCAAACAATGAAGCTGGACTTCCGTTGCGTCCAGGTTCATTCCTTTAAAAAATTTCTCTCTTAAAGTCTCAGTTGCAAATCGAAAGTTTTTTTTTTTCTCAAGAAACAAACATCTTGAATTCACAGAAAAACAGAAAAGTTTCTGAAAATGAGCCAGAAGAAAGACCAGCCTTATCATGTCTTTCACAAACTTCCTCCCGGTGACAGCCCGTACGTTCGCGCCAAGCATCTCCAGGTACGTACATACATACATACATCAGAGGCATACATGTATGCATGCATTTGTGTTGCATCATGTTACTGAGTCAACTCATTCTTCTTCTTCTTCGTTTTCTCCTTTACTTGTTAGGAACTGAGTTTTATATCTGTGGACCGTTGATTTTATGGTGTAAGATTAACGCGGTGATCTGGACCGTTAGATACATTCTTGTGTATCTGAACTCTGAAGTTACCTTCTTTTACTTTTTGACTGGGAGTGAAGAGATATATTTTTTTTTTATCGTGAAATGACTAGAATACCCTTGTGTTGAAGTCGTATTTACCTTTCTAGTCATTAACTGTTGAAGTAGTTAGGTGTTGTGGTTGTCGAGGCAATGGTAGTTCACAGAAAATGGAAAAGGGTGATTGAGTAAATTTAGTGTGACGGTTAGTTTCAGGTGTCTCTCAGTATCTCTGGAAATGTTTGATACAGACAGAGTGAAGGTAGAACTAAAGACTTCATAAATTCTAATTATAATAACATATAAAATTAGAGTATAAGTTTCATGATTAAATTAAACACTCAATATTATCCATATTATTTTAGTTGACTCAAATTTTTAGATGATAGGTATAAATAATAATTTTTATTTTTACATCCAAAAAAATGGATGGGATTACTTGCAATTGCATCCCTACTCTTATTCTTGCATCCAACCTTCAATTATTTAAAAAATTATTTTCTCACTCTACATATTTCCATAAGCTGTGTAAATCTAATGTAAAGAAATTGACCATAACCTCTGTATTTCTTTTTATATACTAGTGTTTCCTATCAGAAAAAAAATATGACTTGCAAATGGAAATACTAATAGAAATCACCATTGTCGTCAATTTTCAATAGTAATTTTTTTTAGTTTTATTAGTATTGTTCTTTTAATTAACTTATATTAAAAAAGTTAACAATTTAGTGTAATTAATTAGAACAAGGAATGGAAAGTAGTTTTAGGGGTGCCATAAAAAAATTTCAGCTTGGTCTAGAAAAAATACTTGATTAATATTGTATGTTAAAAGATTTTTTTACACAAATGTGTTATCTCAAATAATACTTATTTTTACTCCCTGTCTATGCCAATTCAGTTAGTTGAGAAGGACCCAGAAGCTGCTATCGCTTTGTTTTGGAAGGCGATAAATGTAGGAGATAGAGTAGATAGTGCACTTAAAGACATGGCAGTGGTTCTTAAACAGCAAGATAGAGCTGAAGAAGCCATTGAAGCTATAAAGTCTTTCAGGGATCGCTGCTCCAAGCAAGCCCAAGAATCACTAGACAACGTCCTCATTGATTTGTACAAGGTACCCACCACTACACTAAAGTAAATGGCATGCCAAGTTTATCCGGACTTTGTGTCATCACAATTGAAATTATTAAATGTATAACAAAACAGTGTCTCTTCTTTTAAATAAGAGAGTGTTTAGTAAATAACTTAATGCGATGAATGACTAATGAGTTCTGCATGTTTCAACCTCTAGATTTTTCTTTAATAACAACACGAATCTTTTATTGGATTTGTTTCAGGAGAAATATACAACAATCTGTTTAGTAAGAAACGCTATCATCCAGATAACTTAATTTCAAAGAGTAGTTTATTAGATCATGAGGTTTAACTTTTGTCATTTTTTTTATAATGCTTTGTTTAATTGTTGAGAAACTTGTTAAAGTAGAAATCTATCTAGCTGTTATGATTCCCAAGTGTTCCTCTACTCTCTAACCTATTTGGGAATGAATTTAGGATTTATAGACCCCTTTCACCTCCTTTTCGCTTCAAATGAAAAGGCCTGATCCAATTTGTTATGAACCAAAATTCAATATTATTTTTCAATCATATGTTAATTTCAGAACATGTATATGGGTAAGACTTTATTGCCTTGGTTTTCTTCTGCTGCTTTATTGTTTAGGTAGTGACCCTATTAAATTTGGCAGAAACGTGGGAGAATCAACGAACAGATAGAACTATTAAAGCAGAAGCTTCGAATGATTTATCAAGGAGAGGCCTTCAATGGAAAGCCTACTAAGACAGCACGTTCTCATGGAAAGAAGTTCCAAGTCACCGTCAAGCAAGAGACCTCCAGGATACTGGTACTAAAGTTATTCTACTCAGCTTTCTGACTACAATATTTTCTACAAGTTAATTTACGTGAGCTTTTCAGAACTGAAAAAATTAAGTTTGGTCCCCCATTGGTGAAATGAGGTGTCATATTTCACTTACCGCAGCATTTTACTAGTAGCACTGACTCATACTGATCTTTTTTTTTTTTTTTTTTAGGGTTTTTTTTTTTTTCTCCTGCTTACTATTGACATGTTATGCAAGAGCCTCATACTTCTTCGTAGTACTTTGCTCTCTCGCCACCTTTTAAAATTCCCTTTGTTTACTTATTCAACATTCTTTGCTCTCCCCGCCGTTGTTCCCTTTCTGCCACATCTGATGATACAACTTTGTAACTTTCTTTCTGAAGGAGAAATTTTGTGCATACATGAACTCCACTTAGTATTGATCCCTCAGTAGCCCCATGGTTTACATTGTCTTTACAATTACCTGACTTTACAAACATGTAATTCAGGGAAACTTGGGTTGGGCATACATGCAACAAGGAAATTACATGGCGGCAGAAGTCGTATATCGTAAAGCTCAGCTTATTGACCCTGATGCCAACAAAGCCTGCAACTTATGCCATTGCCTGATCAAGCAAACACGATATACTGATGCACAGTCAGTTCTCGAAGATGTATTGCAGGGTAGATTATCAGGGTCTGCTGATCCCAAGTCTACTAACCGTGTCAAGGAGCTCTTGCTAGAGATAGAGCAGTTGCAATCCGGGCCCTCATCTTTAACTACAATAATACCGAACTTAGAAGGTGCATTTTTGGAGGGCCTTGATGATCTGGTGAACCTTCAGACCAAATATAGATCACGAAGACTTCCCATCTTTGAAGAGATCTCTCCTTTTAGAGATCAATTAGCTTGTTGATTATGTGTTAGCTTACCAACTTATAGTTTAGGCTGTTGAGCCTGAAAAGAAATTATAAGTTAGGACTAGAGTCTGTATACAAACAAAAACACTTAAAAAAGTAACTCTGTAAATCTTCCTCATTGTTCTTTGAAATAAAACTGCATCTGTCAATTGGATGTAGCTGTGGCTGAGGCCATGCTATATAAGCGAAATTTCTTGTCCAATAATCACAACTTCATAAATATACCACGTGTGCCAATGTGTCTAAGTCTTGGAAGCATGCTTTGAGAAAGATTTAATTTAATTTTCTAATTTAAAAGGCAAAAAAAAAAAAAAAAGATAGTTATTATGCAAAGAAATTCAATTCACTGGTATAATAAGTTTAATAACAGTGTACATATCTTCTGCTAAACCAATCTGGGAGAACACATGAAATATTATCTATGCTTCTAGGCCTTTTATTTGTAACTTATCACTCTGCAAATTCTTGAAATATAATATTTGTATGTCTCGTTATCTTGCTTCCTATACAGCTAATACTTGTTTACTCAGTTCCCACCGAAGCTCTGGAGCTGGTACAATCTTGAATAACTCCCTGTGAAGCTGCAACAAGAGTTGAGTGTGAACCCATCTCCACAATTTCACCTTTGTCCATCACAACTATTGTATCAGAATTCATCACTGTCGAAAGCCTGTGTGCAACAGTGATCTGAGTGATCCTGGATGGCAATTCTTCACAGCTGCCTTTCTGATTTAGTGATTCCGGGCACTCACGATGACTCTTTCAGACTCGCCACCAGGGCGCTGTTGCTTCGTCTAGAGTAATATTGCCGGCTTCTTTAGTAGAGTTCTGGCAATGCTATCCTTTGCTTTTGGCCTCCGGAAGTTGGCAGCCTTTCTCGCCTACAACTGTGTCGTAACCATCAGGCAAACTACTTATGAATTCATGAATGTTTGCTTTTTTTGATGCTTCCACAATTTCGGATTCAGAAGCTTTATCATTCCCATAGTAAATGTTGCTCTGATTGAAGAACTGAAAAGAAGTGGTTCTTGTTGTACCAAGCCTATTTGCGACCTCAACCTTCTCAAATTGTATTCCTTATGTCCTTCCCATGAATCAGAATTCTTCCTTCCCGGGATCATAAATCTCAGCAAAAGGGCTATACAGATGATTTTCCAGCTCCACTTGCCCCACTAGAGCTACCTTTAATCCAGGTTCAATTTGTACTGAAATTGTTCAGAACTGTCACCTCAGGTCTTAAGGGGTAGTTGAATTTTACATTCTGAAACTCAATTTCACCTTCAATAGCCGGAAGTCTGAAGTCTCTGGTGTGTCAGGTTCAATTTCAGTTTTCTCTATCAAGGATCTCAAACACTGGATTTAGGACATTTATGGCAGGATGACAAGAGGGCAGTGTCCATAATTCTGTGATTGAAGGTACTGTGAGGAGAAAATCTGATATGCTCTTATGCCATTTTTAACTGGCCTGGTTCCTTTCAATCAAAATTGTTGTGTACCACAAAGCAACAGCGTGTGCTATATTCCACAAGCAGAGGGAGACGCCTTGAATGAGCCCGTACTTGATACTTCGTTTCCTGCTATTTCTCTTGGAATTTCTGAGAAATTTGGCTTTCCTGAGTATATTTTTCTTCGTGCAAAAAGATGCAATGGTTCTTATGTGGGCTGCAGACTCAGAAGTTAGGGCAACAAATTCAGAATGTGCAGCAGCAGCATTACCTGAAATCCTTAGCAGAAATGGCTTGAATATATCCCCCTATGAAATGGCAAGGCATCACTGCCCAAGCTACCAGTGCCATTCTCCAATTAACAACTGCACTTACTATTGTCGCAATAATAGGAAAGATGCATTGGACAATAACAGACATACGATCAGAGATAATGGTCTTGCCCATGGCGGTGTCAGTTATAATCCTTGAGGTAAGTGACACAGCATTGTTCTCAGTTTTTCAAACCAAGCTAGCTCATTCCGCAGTACACCTACAGCATCATTGAAGTGAAAGTTATAGTGTGCTTTTGTAGTTTGAACCTTTGAGAAAAGCTCATAAACATGACTAATTATTATCTGTTTAAATCTAATGACGCATGTACACCCAAAAACGTTAATTTTCGATCACTTCCCCTTACAGGTAAACCTTCATATTCTGGAAACAACATGAACTTTCTAGAAGAGAAATGAAACTTCAATGGAGGTTCATGTTGATTTTCAAAATTTGGAGGAAAGTTTAGTCTATTAGAATGACATAAGAGGGAAATGATTTTTCCTGAAAAAAAAAACGTTATGCAGATAATGCACATAGATGAAAGCAGTAGAAACCTGTATTAGAGCTCTTTTGAGGTTTTCATGGCCTTCTCTCCTACCACTACCATCCAAAGAAGTAGTGCTGCAAGAGTGTAGTGAACAATGAAAACAGTCCAACCAAGAGAAGAACAATGAACCGTCCAACTTTCTGCTTGGCACCTTTCTCTATATGCCACTCCTATTGTCATGATGAAGAACCCAAATAAAGGCTTTGAGATTCCAGAGAAACCTGCTGCAACGGAACCAATGACAGTCTCTCAGAATGTCTCCCTCTTTCAAGCCAAACCAAATTCTGAAGAATATAGTCCTTCTATTCATTGTCCCTTCTTGTTGTTTGGTAGATTCACTAAGCTCCCTGTTGGCCTCTCCAGATTTCTCTTGTTGCTCAATATTTAAAAGTTGTTCATGAGTACTTTCAGGCTCTTCAGTGGAATCTTTAACTCTGCTATGCATTCAACAAAAGCAAGATATAAATTGCTATGTGCTCATCATGATTATATATGAGAGCAAGATGAATTCTTTGTCTACCAACCTTGAATCGCTAACTTGGTCAAGGTTCTGCATGTGAAATAATCTGCTGTAGAATTTGCTGGTGTCTAGCAAGCTGTGGTGAGTGCCTGTTTCAGCGACTTGTCCATTTTCCACTATGGAAATTATATCTGCATTAATGATAGTTGACATCCTGTGCGCGATCAAGATGACTGTCCTCCCTTTCATAGCATTCTCAAGGGCCTCTTGAACCAGCTTCTCCGACTCTGAATCAAGTGCACTTGTGGCCTCATCAAGTAAAAGGATTGGTGGATTCTTTAGAATGGCTCTTGCTATAGCAATTCTCTGCTTTTGTCCCCCTGATAACTGGACTCCCCTTTGTCCCAACTGGAAATTTATCATGGAGGCAAAAACTTACTACGTATAATGCACAAGAAAATTAGGCTGGGATTATCATATTGTAAGACAATATGTGGTTTGTGTTTTCTCCTGTGATTTAAGTCCTAATAAAGGTAACTGATATGCAATCTGCAATTCGAACTTACACTTTGTTTCCTTCCTCTTTTCTGTTGAAACTTTATGTATGTCGGTTTTATACAATGCATATTGATGCCGCTATAACAACTTTTTATCAGAGAAAGGTGCTAGAATTGGAGACTTATCAATATACATATTGAATTGGTGTTTAGGTTTTGTTCATGTACTGTATATCAAAAACTGACCACACATTTGTTTCAACTACCTATGATTCAATTAGTGAATTTGTGTATCATTTTCCAAAAATATTGATGAGGCAAGTAAATAGAGGAAACGAAATACCTCAGTTAAGTACTGATCTGGAAGGTCTGATATGAAAGTGTGTGCGTTTGCCATCACCGCTGCTTTTTGGATATCCTCATCAGTGGCATGCATGTTCCCAACTCTAATGTTATCCTTGAGGGTGCCAGCAAAGAGTGATGGTTCTTGGGAAACTGCTCCTATGTTCTCTCTCAGGAACTTCAGATCAAGATCCTTGATGTTATTGTTGTCAATCAAAATCTCTCCTGGAGGATATTTATTACATTAGACTTAGAAAACCTCCAATTCAATATGTTTAACTTGATGCTTGAAAATTAAGATGTTGCATGTATACCTCGAGTGGGATCATAGAATCTTGCAACTAAGGAAATGACAGTGCTCTTTCCACACCCACTACTACCCACTAAGGCCACCATCTTTCCTGCTGGAATTGACAATGAAAATCCATCAAGGATCAATTGGTCTGGCCGCGATGGATACGCGAATGTTACATCTCTTATGTCAATGTAGCCATTAACCTTCTCAAGTGTCCTTCCCTTTGAATCATAACATATAATCGGCTTTCTTTCGATCACCTGGAAGATCTCAAACCCTGCGGCTTTCGCCTGATTGAAGATTTGTATGTCTGGTGCTGCATAAGTCAGTGCTCTGCAATTCAAAAGAAGCCAGATTCAATAATTAGATGCTTGTTTATGTTGTGTCATTATATTTATATTTATTGGAGACGTTTCTTACACAGCTCCAAAAAGAATGCTCATCACAGCGGCTAAAACATCTCCTCCCGTTGCCCTTCCTGCAAGGACAACAACAGCACCAATCCAGATAACGAGAGCCCAACAACAGAAAGTGACAGACTGAATCATCCCAACTCCAACTCCTTTTATAAGTGCCTCTCCTTTGCTTATAAAAATCTGCCTGTCCATGCCCTCCGAGAATGATTTGATTGCACTATTCTCCCCAACAAATGCAAACACTGTTTTGATTTGAGAAATAACCTGTAACATATATTCAAACCATTAATACTTAAAACACAACTTCTATGCACGGCGAACATAATACTTTGATTGTAACACCTCAGCTCACTGATAAGATATTATCATTGGATTTGTCTCGTACTCACCTCAAATAGTTGGTTCAAAGGTATCGATTGAATTTGAATCAAGGGGAACACACTTTAAGCCCACCATTTGAGATGAGTGACAGACAAATCCAAGAACAAATCATTGACAGTGGGCTATAATTAATTACCTGTTCTACCATGGATGCAGCTTCTGAAAGGTATTGCATTTTGGTAGATGAAATAGTGTTCATTTTATTGGTGTAAGTGGCTCCAATCACAAGAATCATTGGAACAACTAAAAAGTTAAGTAGTGATAGTTCCCAACAGCAGATTGCAGCAATCAAGATTCCAGAAAAGAAAGTTGCAAGGCTTGAGAGAAGATGGCCCAACTGTAAGGAAGAAAGATAAATACATATATGATTATGTTAAGCTAAATGAGGTTGGAAAATAATTAAACTGGTTAATCATATATATACCTTCTCTCCTATGGCATCTTGTATAACACTCATGTGGTTACTGACTCCAGTAATAATCTTGCCACTAGTTAAATCTGTA